TGCTCTGGAGGGCAAGTGTGACCAGGAAGAGTTAGGAGGAACAGCATAAGGTTGACCTTAAAGAACGCGTTCAGAGCCAGGCAAAGTGGCTTAATCCCTGCCTTTAATCCCAGCATTTGGTAGGCAGACACAGGTGGCTCTCTGTGGGTTCGAGGCCAGCCTGGTCTACATAGTGAATTCCAGGACAGCCAGAGCTGTATAGTGAGACCTTGTCTTGAAAAAACAAATAACAACAGACAGACAGTGTCCAGGAATACTGGAGACAATTGACCTCCTTCCAGATGATCAATATGGATAGGAAGGGATGGGGAGCTGGGTGCTCGCCTTACAATGGATGAGAACCTGAGTTCAATCCCATATGAGAGAGAGAGAGAGAGAGAGAGAGAGAGAGAGAGAGAGAGAGAGAGAGAGAGAGAGAACCAAGCATGGCAGCATACACTTAAAATCTCAGCGTTGGGGAGGCAGATCCCTAGAGCTTGCTAACCAGGCAGTCTAGCCTACTTGGCAAGTTCTAGGCCAAAACTCATACACGTGAACTCATACACACGAACGCATGCTCATACACAAACATCAGTTTGAATTCAAGCTTCCCTTTAACCTTGTCAGGGACCACCCCTGGAAGAGCCGCGCATGCCTGGTGGGTGACAACCGGCAAACTCTACCTAGGCAGATTCTGGAGCCCAAAGGCCACCAGTTCCTCCCCTTGCAGTCACTTTAGACAGGTGGCACTGAAAGTGACAAGACGAAAGGTTGCTCGTACTTGCTTAAGGAGAAGCCAAGGGGCCCCAGGGTCCCTCTGTACCAGCCACACCCATCGCCACTGGCCCAGGAGGCAGGGCCCTCGGGGACCTTTGCCCATGTCGGCGCACTGATAACTAAGTCTCAGGAGTGGGCAAAGGCGCCAGACTGCAGGCTCCACCTGACCCTTGAAACAGAAAAACAACTGACTCATCCCAGTGATCCTCCATTGTGAGGCTAATCCACAAGGAAAACTGACTGGGAGTGGTTTCCATGACAACCAGCTTGCATGACCTGCAATATGCACCAGGCCCACATCCTCCCACCTGCCTACCTGGACACAAGGAAGAAGCTGGCCGTAGTTCCAAACCTTCCTTCCCTGAGGACCAGGGGCTCAGGAAGCATCCACTGAGCATTATGCTCTAGGGCCATCAGGAACATCTCCAAAACTCATCTTTTCCCACAGAGGAGCCTACAACCTCCCCTGGGGACCTGAATACAGATGGGGCCCTTTCGGCAGAGCCCTTACTGAGGCAGAGCCCCTTCACTTTGCTCTGCTGTGCATGACACTTAAGGTGCAGTCACAGCAGGATCAAGGTCAAGGTCTCAAATCCCAGGTCCATGCTGCTTGGCTTCTGACCTTGCACCTCTCAGGGAGAGATGACCATGTCAGCACTGATAGCCCCAAGTGCCATGCCCCAAGAGATCTAATCCCTAGCCTTCATCTGAGTTCCTCAATCTGCCCTAGGCTGGTGTCATTGTCCCCTGACTACATACACTCCTGCTTACCTTCCGGGGCCTCTGAGGAATGCAGCCTGATGCTCTTTCTCAAAAGAGTTGGTCTCTTCCCCAGGAAGACACGTCCTGGTCTTCATCACGCATCTGGCTTCTTGCCGAAACTGCCTGCTGTGGTTTTCCCCAGAAATACCTAGCTGAAGGCTACCATCCCAGGCTAGGGGCCAGCAATGTGTGTGCTCTGCAGAGGGCAGACTCAAAGACCCAGCCAAGACCCTCTCTCTGAGACATTCCACAAGCTCATGTGCCTCAGAATGTTCTTTTCTACACCTAGAGCGGCTGTGGTACCTGCCCTAGGCTGAGGGCTCTAGTGTGTCTGGAGTAGAGGGACAGGGTCAGGGTTACCCCTATGGGGGCAGTGAGCTAACTACTGACCAGGCCATGCCTTCACAGAAAAAAATGGTACTGATGGGTGTGAAGAAGAATGTGGCAGTGCCTGGGAAACCACGGGCACTCAGGCCACATTTGCTCTAGGAAGAAGGCGGTACCTCCTCCTCTTCCTCATTATTATTATTATTATTATTTATTTTAAAGAACTTTATCATCATCATCATTATGTATATGACTGTTTTGCCTGCATGTATGTCTGCGTACCACATGTGTGCCTGGAGTCCATGGAGGCCAGAAGAGCGCTTTGTATTCCCTAGAACAAGGTTCACAAAGAGTTATAAGCTGCCATGTGTGTTCTGGAATGAACTCTGGTCCTCTGGAAGAGCAGCCAGTGCTCTTAACCTTGGAACCACCTCTCAAGCTCCAGAAGGTGCCATCTTAATGATAACAAATTTATACTTATTGGGGTTACATGGCCCATGGATTTGGAGGCTGGCTCCACCTCCCATGTGCTTACACAATGGAGTCCTCCCTCTCATGTGACTCTGGAGAAGTGGCAGGGCATGGGGAGAGCAAGATTGCCAGCAATGATTCCAAGGGCGCTTGGTCGCTTTCTAACTGCAGAGACATGAGAGAGATACCTGTGGTGGTTTGAATGAGAAATGTCCCCTGTGGTCTCAGGCCTGTAAATACTTGGTCCCCAGTCGGTGTTACTGGGGAGGTTTAGGTGGCGCTGTCTTGATGGAGGAAGTATGTTGCTGGGGGTGGGGAGGAGCTTTAAGAATGAAATGCTGGGCTGGAGAGATGGCTCAGAGGTTAAGTGCACTAGCTGCTCTTCCAGAGGTCCTGAGTTCAGTTCCCAGCACCCACATGGTAGCTCACAACCATCTGTAATGAGATCTGGTGCGCTCTCTCTCTTCTGGCCTGCAGGCAGACATGCTGACAGCACATTGAATACATATTAAATAAATAAATAAATATTTTTTTTAAAAAGACAGAAGGAAAAAGGAACAAGAAAAAGAAACGTCTCAGCTCCTTCCAGTTCCCTCTCTGCCTCACACTTGCAGCTGAGGACATGAGCCCTTAGCTTCCTACCCCTGCTTCCAGGCCGCCAGCTACTGCCATCCTATCCCAGCGCTATGGACTCCCCCTCTGGAACCGTAAGCTAAATAAACTCTTCTATAAGTCACTTTGGTCATGGTGTTTCATCACAGCGACAGAAATGTAACTAATACACTATCCAGCCTGTACCCGCTTCCTCACCTTGAGGCAGTCCCGTTCCATGTTGGTCCAAGTACCATAAATATAAGGTACTTCAGACCAGAGCCCACACAGAATGGCTCTGAATACCTCCTGCCGGAATCATCGTTGCTCTCTAATTTATACCTGGTCTAGTATTCCCAGACAAGGCCTGGCGGGGTCCCTGCAAGGTACCAGCAATGTCCTCTGGGGGCCTGGAGACATTTCTGCCTCAAGGGTCTACACAACTACCCATGCTCTGATGTCTCCCCAGAGAACCGCTGCCTGAAGAGCTGTAGGCACAGGAATTAGACACTCAGGGTCCTCCTAAGGACAGGAGGCATAAGTGGGAAATGACGAGGGCGGCCGCTTCACTGAGTGCCCATAGCACTGAGAGGACGGACGGTGGTGAAGGCATGTGGCGACTACCTGATCACTGGGAAGTGGTGCAAGAGCCACCCGCAGGGAACGAGCAGTGGCCTCAGGAAGTCAACATGGAGCCCTGCCTCTGCCACACCCCACACACCTCTGAGCCTTGTTTCCTGGTTATAAAACAAGGCTGACGACACCTGCCCTGAGGGACGTAGAGATGAGCTCAGGTTGGCTGCTTTTAGAGCTAAGTCCAGGCCATGGAGTGAGGGACGGTCAGGGCAAACCTCCCTGCCTTGCCTCACTCCTGAGAAGGGCTTGAAGAACCACCACACAGCAGACACCCAGGGAGCAAGCACAACACACACCAGCAGCGAGCACCCTCCAGGACTGGGCATGGACACCATCACTGTCCAGCTGCTCCTCCCTGCAAGCACTCATTTTACAAACAAGAAAACTGAGGAGGCCCCACGAGGTGGAGGAGAGCCCATGGCCACAGCTTCAGCCTATGAGAAGACCGAGCTCAGAGGGGCTCTATAACTCTTTATATATTGCCCATGGGGTCAATCCCTACCCCAATGCGGCCACCCCTAGAACTCATGCGGGAGGCAAGGAGTAGCTCAGCTGGTGGGAAAAGACATTCCACAGCAAGAGGTCTCCAGGAAGTGGGTGAGAGCCATGAGATGCTCAGGGGGCCGAGGCCACCAACCCTGAACACGTGGCAGAGAGGAACACTGTCAGCAGGATGGCTGCTGTGTGACAAGAGCCCCTTTGTCCTGGCAGGGGAAAGGATCTCCAGCCTCCAATTACTGCAGCTGAAAAAGTGCTGGTTCAAGCGCCCGTGCCCTAGGGAGGCCCGGGAACAGGCACAATTTCAGCTGCATTTCCGCTGATAATAGGACTTTGTTTCATGACCCCCCGAGCTGCCTGCCAGAGAAAAGAATCGTGTCTGTCCACAAAAGAGGACACATGGGGCAAGTCAGCAACGGCAACAGCAGCAGTGGTCACGCCACATGAAAACCCTAAGGTGACAGGCAGATCACCCAGGGGTCGGGCCCTGGAGCTGTGGGGGGGAAATGAACGGGTAGGAAAACAGGGAACATCCCTCGGGCCCATGAGAAATGTCAAGCAAGGCATAAACAATATCAAGTTGAACAATACAGGGGCTTTTCCACAAACGCAGGGCATGGTTCAAAGGCTTTCAAGGGACCCTTGACCCCAATTGCAACAGAGGGGGGTCCCATCCTGGGGCGAAAGCGGAATCGGCAGCCAGTGCTGAGCGCACCAGCCCTGAAGACACAGAAACCTTACCTGGGCTCAGCAGCGCTCTGACCACGAGCAGGACATCAAACCTGGGCTACACTTAAGCCTGAGGTCTGGCCCGCAGCTGAGCACTTGCCCGGGGAACCACAGCTTGCCGGTGGCAGAGCCATTTCTCCGGAGGCCCCAGCTCTAAGCTGTAGAGCCAACCTGGCCTTCCCCCCAACCCCCCAGAGGCCCCAGAGCCAGACAGCGCCACCCTCACTCACTTGGAATCTGTGCACCAATTCCAGAGACTGGCTGTCATTCTGATCAGCCTCGAGGATGACATCAGTCAGCTTGTGGATGATGACGTCCAGGGGGCCCTGCTCCTCAATTGGCCGGCTGAGGTTCAGCTGCAAGGTGGGAACACATGAGAAGAACTTCAGTACCTGAGCCCACATCTGGGACCCTTGAGCCTCGGTAGCACCCCAGACGGGAAGGGACTGAACGGACAGATTAAGGGCCCCACTACTCATCATTCTTGGTAGTTAAGGAGAGACTCCATGTTTACATATAGGTCTCCCAAAGGCAGAAAACACATGAGCAGGGGATGCCACACATTGGCTGTATGGAGAAAGCATTTATTGAACATTACCTCAACTGCCCAACCGTCTAGGGGAACCAGAGGTCAGAGGGATTAAGAAAAATGACCAGTCACCCAGTCAAAACTCCATCTAAGCACATATTCTTTCCCTCTAAGGCCTAGGCCCAGTGATGTTCTTGGCAAGTCTAGGAGTCGCGGCCTTGAGAACCCAGGCGCTTGCATTCCACCCTGAACCCGGGGTGTGTCACTGACAGCGGAGGGGTGCAGGAGCACAGAGCCGCCTGTGATCAGCTGAGCGCTGCGTGCGCTGCTCCACTGGGGAATGTGTTTGCTTTTTCAAGAACACAGGGTTGGGAAGATCAAGCCCCAAGGGAGCCAGAGCGGCCAGCTGATAGTCAGCATCACCTGACCCCAAGCCAAGAGCACCTGCCAACAGCCGGGCAGCCTGACACCACGCTTCCTGATGCGCCAGATGTCTGCCGCCAGCACACGGCCGCCGCCGCCACCTGCAAGGCTAGACTCTTGGAGGCAAGTTTGACGCCGGCACCTGGCTGACCCCCACATAGCCTCAGCCAGGCCGGAGAAGGCCATCCCTGCCCCACTCCCCACCCTCAACTGCAGCTAGCTCCAGGATTCAGGGCTGGCTGTGCCCATGTCCTTCGTGACACGAGACAGCTACAAACAGTCACTCTCAGGAGACGGCAAGCTAACGACGGACCTATCTGCCTCCTTTCATTCCCGACCACTACGGGAAAGGATATCCACAAACAATGCAAGGGAGGCAGGGGACTTTTAAAAACGTGCCTAGGATCTGGGTGGGAGAGGTCTAAGTAAGACCTGAGACAACTGATCTGAAACCCCCACCCACCCTTTATCCTCTGCCCCATGTCCTCGCTGTGCCCTGTTGTCACAATCTCAAAAGTCACCACCCCATAGCGGCTGTCCTCTGGCAGAATCATCCCTAGGAGCCCTGGTGGAGGGCCAGAAGGAAGGCAGGTCAGGACACTGGTCCCTGCACCTGGTCCCCATACCGCCTTCGATCCTGGTAATTCTGCACAGCCCATCTCCCAAGCCTACCGGCCATCTCTGTGGCTCCAGGTACACTTGTGGTTCCCCTGTCCCAGCAGGCCCATGGGCAGCAGCAATTCCTCACACTTGGTCATACTACGTACTGTGTCTTGTCAGGCCCTGCTCACACCTGTTGTACATATACCCTTCTTTCAATTCTTTTCTGATAGGTTTTTGGAATGCGCCAGCTCTCTCCCCTGCTGTCCTTAATTCCACTTTTTAATGGTCTGCCAGGAGAGATGTTAAAAGGTCACCCCTATTTAAAGAAGAAAAAAAAAAAAGTACCAGAGACCTCCCAATGAGAAATCATCAAGGACTATGCTTCCCTCCCATGGTGACAAGCTTGTGTACCAAACAAAACAAATACAGTCAAGACACCAGGCTGGAGAGGGGAAAGATGCGGCCCAAGTGTCTTCTGCCATTATCTGAAACTGTCTGGCTGGTTTCACACTTGAGGTGATCACCCTGACTCTGCCTCCTGGGTGTCTTCTGAGACCTCACAGCAAGGCAAGGAGATGGGGATGACCTTCCTACCTCCTAGGACCAGAACACCGAGAACCTAGGGAGAAAAAAGGACCAACCACGTCGTGTAGCTGAAACAGACCGAGGCTCAGCAGAAATGCCAGTGCCGGCCCCTAGCCTCAGTTTCCCCCAAGGAAACAGAAAGGGCCTCTCTGGCTCTATATGATGATTCCACACTACATTTTCATCCAACCCCAACAGGATTTGAAGGGAAGTGGAGAAGCTACCAGAACAAGAAGAGGCACCCAAGGAACTATGGCCATGCCTGGGTTCCACGATGGCAGGCACCACAAACAAAGGCCAATATTTTCAGACCATGATAACTATGAAGAGAGAAGAGGGTCTCAGGAGTGACAGTGGGCACATTCCCCAAGTTCAGTCAGAACTACCATGCTGGTCTCCACATCTCCAATCCTCCCTGGACCAGGTAGGTACTAGGGAAGGGGAAAAAATGTCAGAGCCTAAGCCAGGCCAGGCATGGTTACGGTAATTATTGTTGCTTTAGACGTCAGGGGTGACTCTTGGGCCACTGGAGTTTGCAAGGGCAGGAGAACCAGCCAGAGGAAAGCCAGGGATTCCCCTGAGGATCAGGGAAGGAGGTGGGCATCAGCCTGAGGCCTGTAGACCTGACAACGGGGGCTGTTTGGAAAATAAGCTCCCTGTGTTCCTGGCTGCTCTGCAAAAGGTAAACAGTTGAGTCTGGAAGTCAGCCACCTTCCTTTGTGTATTCTCCAAGCATTTCTATGCCAGTAAAGCCCTTTCACAAGAACAGCATCTTGGGGACACACATCAGGCCTGGTGTGGTCCCACTCCGCAGCATGGCCACCACCTCCTCCCATGGCATCCTCCCTCCCTCTCTCCCTCCTTCCCTCCCTCTCTCCCTCCCTCCCTCCCCCCCCCCCCCCCCCCCTCTCTCCAGGTTTTCCCTATGTAGCCCTGGCTGGCCTTGAACTCACAGAAACCTGTCTGTTGCTCCTCTAGAGCCACCACACCCAGCTGTCTTTTCTACTTTATAGTTCAAGCTGGCCTTGAACTTGCAGCCATCCTCCTGATTCTCCCTTCTGCGTGTCGAGGTAACAAGTGTGTGCCACCGTAGCTGGCCTAGCAGTAGCATCTCTGAGCTGTATAAAGTGGGTCTTTCTGCTTTTCCTCAAGTAGCTAGAGAAGCCACCATCCATCTCAAGGGATGTTGTCCTGAAAGAACCTCACAGAAGCCTCAGCCTCTCCCCACTTGAGAGATGGGTCTCACCGGAGGCCTGGACAGCGAGGGAAGCGAAACCAGACCAGCACAGAGGGGATGCTGCAAAGGAGAGGGCCCTTGGGAGAGAGTACGCCATAGAGGAGGGGGCACGCAAGAGAGTGACTGCCGGCTTCAGAAAACGGCACAGCCCAAGCCCAGTCTCCTGGAGAGGGTGAGGGCAGGGCTCGGAAGAAGAACGCCATGTGTGTTCACCATTCCGTTTCTCTGGCTGCCTGCCTCCCAGAACGTTCCCGGAGACTTCCTGTTCTCCCCTTGGAAGGGGTGTGATCTGTCCCTCTCCCTGAGCGTTAAGGGCATCTCAATGAAAGGCCTGACCATGGGTGCTCCACTTCCAAGTCTCCCTGTGCTAGACAAGGTTCCATGCAGCACACAAGGGTCTGAATTCAGAGGGAACAAAGAGCCGCTGTTTCCCTCGCTGACAAAGGCAGTGAGGCTCATGGGCTCCAGGTGTGCATACATTCACACACACACACACACACACACACACACACACACACACGGGGGGAACGGGTTGGGGGGGGGGGGCAGGGCTGGGAGGATATGGGACAAAGTTGGCAAACCCCAGTGGCCCTCGGGTCACCGCTGACTTCCACAACAATAATACTTAACATCATCATGTCCTACCTAGTGACCAAGCTAGGTCCTGACACTATGCCTCCATCCCAGATACCAGCCCCTGGAACCAGCCAGAGACGTGAGCAAGGCTGATAAACCCATCTAACCTCATTATCTCATTATCATTATCAGGGTAGCCGTGGTCACCTAAACTGTACTGAGCTTCAGTTTTCCCCGTTCACAAAATGAGGATGCTCTCCACATGCTGCCCAAGGCTGTGGTTCTCAACCCATCTTGCAACAAACAGGAAGAATTCGTAGGTCCCTCATCTCACCCACACCCACAGGACCACCCCTGACTTCCTTTGCTTCTCCAGAACAACTCTCCCCTATCCCCTCATGCTGTGGATGCCCCTTAGGGGTTCTTCACTGCAAAGCCATGGAGACACAGGGCTGCTAAGCAAAACCCATGGCTTCCTAGATGGTAGGTGTTCCTGACTTCAAAGTTCACATGTTACAAACCGAGGCTGGAATGGGACTAGGACGGGTACAAGGACTGGCCTCTGTGGCTACCACCTTCTCAGAGCTTCGAGTGCCTAAAGAAGCCTCACCGTCCTGCAGCACACACAGCTGCTGCTTACATGATCAGACCCTGCTCGTCCTTACAAGCAGTGATTCAAATGCCCCTCGGAGGAACACTGAGGCAGCACAGTTTCACACGCACGTTCATGGTCCTTTGCCGAGGAATATGGCACGCATGCTCAATAAAGGTCAGCTGTTATCTCCCTCTCCTGGCTGTTTGCATTATGACCGACATCAAACCCCCAGCCTCTGGCTGCAGCATGTCACAAGAGCTCAGCACGGGTCAGAACTTGAATTCTGCAGAGCCAGGGTACTAGCACCGGCTCACATTCACGTCCTCCAAGAGTGTGCTGCCACACCCTCAGCTCCCTGTGGTTGTTAATGGCGACTGTCACCCACGCAGCGGTGCTTACGGGAAGCTACACACTGTGTTCCTAACAAGCACTGAGCACATGGGGTGATGAAGACACTGAGTCACACAGAGGTTCAGTGACCTGCCCAAGGGCATGGAGTTTCGTAGCATGGAAACCCAGGTTTCTCTCCTGCTGACACCACACTTCTGTTCACACCAAAGGGCGTGCCGGGTACCTGGGGTGTCTTTCACCTTTCCTCCCTGCATGCGGCCCAGAAGCGCTGTGTTTTCAGCTGTGACTTCAAATGGGATCCACGACATCAAAAGTTTTGCCTTAAGCCAAGGCTGAGTGGGACAAATGGCCCAGATCAAAGGCCTGATGTATATCTCTGTGCTTCCTGAGAGTCCTGGGATCTGGCAGAAGAGCCAGCCCTGAGGTTACAGTATAGTAGACAGCGTGGGTCTCTCAA